TTAGAGTGTCACATGTCTTGGTGATCCTCAGGACAGCCTGTTTTACAAGATGGGCAAGTGAGCTCAAGGGAGTGGGGGTGGGGGAGGGGGCTGGGGTTGGGGGCATCTCTGTTACCCAGCTAAGGAGCCAGGATTGACTTGTGGAGTTTTTGATGCTGAAACCTGCATCTTAGCTACTGTAGGGCTGGAGGCCAGGTGCTCTGGGGTGTGGAGAAGTCAGACTCACACCTCTGAAGGCAGGAGCGGCAATTTATTGAACCACCGACTCTCAGAGCGCCGCACGGTGCTTTGTGAACTAGGCAGCTTGGCTGGCAGAGTTGGAAATGGGGGGACGAATGTAGAGGGGATCTTTGGCTGCTTTAATCTATATTAAAACTAATTCAGACATCAGAAAACAAATGTAAATTAGTTTAATCAATTCAATAAAGGAAACTTGAGGTGGCAGGGAAGAACATAGTTTCTCAGCCCTAACTGAAGGATTTAATTCGCTTAAGAAGATCTTATTTATTAATTTTTAGAGAGAGAGGAAGGGAGGGAGAAAGAGAGGCAGAGAAATATCGATTGGTTGCCTCTTGCACGTTCCCAACCGGAGACCTGACCAGGCAACCCGGGCATGTGCCCTGACCTACCAGGTGGCGTTTTGGTTCGCAGGGCGGTGCCCAGTCCACTGAGCCACACCTGCCTGGGCAAACAATTCATTTGTAATGAAAATCTTTTTGAGGGAGAATCTATGTCAAAAGAAAAGAGTGAGAACATAGAGCTCTGACAAGGGTGTGACAGCCACAAAGGCAGTGTGCCCGGCGGACTTGAGTTCCGGGACTGGCGTTGACGTCTGTGACTGGGCTTCCCAGGACGGTGAGCAACTCACGGCGACATCCTGGTCAAAATAAACTGTGTGCCTTCACTGAGGGTGAAATCATCTATAATACCATATCTAATAGCCTTTGCCTTTGACATTTAAGCAATTTTAAAACCAATTGACTTAAGACACCAATTTTAGGAGAAAACTTTGAGTTATTTTAATTATTTTTAGTGTTATTTTTCCTATAGTTCAACAAAAAAGAGTCAGAATTAAAGTTCTGCGAAGATAGGTAACAAAGCCCTGGCTGGCATGGCTCAGTGGAATGAGCATTGGCTGCGAACCAAAGGGTCGCCAGTTTGATTCCCAGCCACGGCACATGCCTGGGTTGCAGGCCAGGTCCTCAGTAGGGGGTGCATGAGAGCCAACCACACATCGATGTTTCTCTCTTTCTCCCTCTCTTCCCCTCTCTCCAAAAATAAATAAATAAAATCTTAAAAAAATAAAGAAAGGCTTGACTCCATACCTTAAAAAAAAAAAGATAGGTAACAAAAGTTATCTAACTTTTGGCACTCAGAGGTAGCCTTCAGGCAATCGACAACAACAAAAAAATCATTGCAAAATACACTGAGTAGATAAAGATGTAAATATTTAACTAGTACTCTCTATTTTGAAGTTAATGAACAATGTCAATATTTCCCAAATAAATGCTGCTGTTGACTCACTACCTCACTTTCTGTCAAAAAGATTTCACTTCAACCTTTTTGTTGTTCGTCGAGATTTTTTCTGTTGATTAAGTGCTCGGGGCGCAGAGGTGACGGGTGGAACACCTGGTTTCCCGGCTCTCCCCATAACCTGTTTCGTCAGCCTGGCTGGGGCCCTTTCCCCTGGAATCTTGCATTTCCTTATCTTTAAAAGTGCTAATTCATACATTCAAAATAACATATTTATTGTCTCACTATCAAGAATTAGCCGACTTCTCAGCTCCATGAGCCAGGTCTCTTTTCAAACATGTGCTATTGAGTAGATTTCAGCAGACTTCACCTCCAGCTGTGTGAGCCGAATAGGCCTGGTTTGCCTCTCAGCAGACTTCACCTCCAGCTGTGTGAGCCGAATAGGCCTGGTTTGCCTCCGTCAATCTTCTGCTCTCTTCTGTTCTCTCTCTACTCAGCCTTCCCGCACAGTGTCTTGCACCTGTAGTTGCCAGCTCCCAAGATCTGCTGGGAGGCTCCTCTCCTGCACCCAGCCTGTCCCAGGTCTCCTGCCCCGCCCTGAGAATTGGCCCACCCCTTCCCTCAGGCACACAGCTTTAGAAACTTATCCTGCCCAGCGCCGTTGCTCGGGCTCTCAGACAAGTGGTAAGGACAACGAGGAAGCATCCCTCTTTCTTCAACCCCAGCTTCTAGGGCGTTCGAACTTGAATGGTTGCTATTATTCTAGGAGTGGGGGAAGGTCTGGAGCCACCCGGGGTGTGGGAATCCCAGGATCATCCCCTCATACCGGGCCCCTTGCTCTGCCTCCAATTCCTCCCATGGGAAAGAAGATAAGGACTGACAAGTGTGGGAGAACAATTCCTGTTCAAAGCAGCGCGTTGATGGGTTCTGGGAGGCTTTAAGAATCCTGCAAGAGAGGCTCGGCCTTGAAGAACGCAGAGCCTGGTTGGGAAAAATAAGACACAGAGAGAGCTAGAAGGCGACTACCGTGACAAGGGGCCAGGTAGGTAGAGTTAAGCAGCCCAGGGCACCAGGGAGCATGCCAGGTGGGGAAGGAAGGCAAGGAGCCGCACCTGGGGTTCTTAGGCAGCGTCCAGCTCCCGGGGAGAGAAGGTAAGTACTCCCAGCAGGCTTAGCTGCCTATCAGAACCAATATTTGCCTGCAAAATTTCTGACTCTCTGCCTACAGTCCTCAGTTCACACTGAAGTTCAGAACTTAACAGCTATCCCTCTCCAACTCTCGCCACTGCTTTGCTTAACTTGCTCCTGCCAGCTCCCTGCCGTTCTGGGTGTAAGGAGGGTTACCCTCCTCTGACGAAAGTGCCTGCTCACCCCAGTGTGGTAGCAGCAGGAGGCAGGAGCTATGCATGGCGCTGAGTCTTTTTAGAGTGAATGTAACTCAGGGGGAAGTACTTTCTCATGCTGGGTAAAAAATCACCCAACACTGATAAGCTAAGTCTCATGACCAGACTTCCTCCTTCGCTGTCAGCTTGGATCTTCCCTTTTAAGCATTTCCAGCCCAAGTATATGTAAGCTATACTAATAACAAGTAACGACACTTTGGACGATGAGGAAGAACTCAAAAGCAAGAGGCCTGCATAATCCATAAATCGTTTTTCTGGTCCCAGAGTAACTGAGAGTTGCCTATGTAAGAAAATCAAGAATCCTTTCCCTTTTAGTGTAGTGGCAGCTTTTTCAGACGGTCAAGGTTGCAAGATTTCAGTTCACACCTGTCGAAGGAGCATTTCCTCAACTTTGCCCTCCTTACCAAGGAGTCCGATGTGCTTGTACCCTTGGGTGAAACCCTTTGTGGCATCCGGCACATAGACTCTCAAGAGACATTTGTTGAACGAACTGATAAAATTAATCTAGGTGTTGCATATCTGCTGTGGGATCAGTCTTTCTATCTTTCAGTTTTACAGTTCCCATAGAGTTAATGACTGGAATCCATGAATAGTTTTAGAGGCTCAAAAATCTTTGTAATGCATGCTCTGTCCTTACATGTTTCCAGACTGTACCAATAAAATATATGCCAATGAAGCAGCTCTATTTCATGGCTGAAAACAAGCAGCTTTCCTGTCTACATCTCCAAGGTCGGGTTAAGCTGAAAAAACAACGGCTAGTGGAGAAACTGTAAAATATTATCATGCTCTCTGTACCTATTGCATTTCTCTGATAAGGGAGGAGAGATAAAACCCAGACATTCTCAGCACTTTCTTGCATATGAATGCAGTTTTGTTAACGAGCACCTTATCTGTGAGCCTCAAAGCCTTTTGGCCAAAGGCGCCACGCGCCTCCTGAGCGTCATGCCACCTTTATGAACTTGGAAGTATCTGCTCCCACCTGTGAAGGCACAACCTGGGGTTCCTGTGCACTCTCATTGTTCTGAGAGCTGGGCTTGGCTTTACATGTGTGCCCAGGTTTGTAGAACAGGAACAGGGAAAAATGATCTCTCTCTAATCCCTCAGGCTAACTTCCAAAAATATAACCACATTGTATTCAGGGTAGTGGACTGATAGGAAAAAAAAATAAAAAGGCATAGGCCTCTTCTCAGTGACTCCAGAGCCTGCTGCCTGGCCACAGCAATGGGAGTGATTGACCTTGGCCTAGGGAACACGGGGCCCGGAGGACCGAATCCCTTTTGGGTTTGTTCTGGACACCTGCAAACCTGGGCTTCGCTGTTGACGGCTCTGCCTCTGTGCCTCCACCGTTTCCCAGCCCCTGCCATGTAGCTTTGACTTTACTTTCTGCCCACCTAGTTATGTATGTTGAATGTCTTCCATTTGCCCTCGAACGTCGTCTACCCTCTGCTGTTCCCTACCCTGCTTGTGTCCCGAGTGTTACAACGGGGCGGAGGGCGCAGCACACACACAGACACAGAATGTATTGCAGCCATTTAGGGATTCACCGGCAGCAACGAGGCGGTGGCAGTGTTTTCCAGCTGCCATGAGGACCTCTGGGGGTGAGTTCAGAAGCGGGAACAGCGCTGCAGAACACCGGAGTTCAAGGGCAAGGGGGCAGCAGCCCTGTCTCGGGGTGGGGCTGACTTTGGAGCCTCAAGTGAGGCTCTGCGAGACAAGGGACTGGGAGCATGGCCTTGGGGGACAGGGCTGGGGTTCAAGCCCGCGGTCCGGCCGGGCGCAGGGGCTCAGGCAACGCCGCTAGCCCGAGGAGGTCCAACCTATGTTTCATTCCTTTGGGCCTCGTGTTCCCATCAGCAAAGGGCGGGCAGTGAGAGACCGAGGGGAAGCCAGGTGGGCGCCCGGGCGCGAGGATCCGGTAGCCTCCCAGAGCGGCCAGGCCCAGGATGCGCGAGAGCGGCTCGAACCTGCGGTTCCTGGCAGGATCCACAGCGCGCGAGTCTGCGCCAGGCCCCGCTGGCGGGACGGGAGGGGCGAGGGGGCCCAAGACGATTGGTGCCCAGCCCTCAACATCAGCCAATGGGAGGCAAGGACGTCCCGAGGGCGGGGCGGGAGCCTCACTTTAAGCTCTGTGACGCGTCGCTCTTCGCCGCTCCAGCTCAGCCGAATCGCACATACCGGGCGAGTCTCCGAGGTGCTGCCAGGTATCCGCGCGGGTACGGCGGGGCCGGGGCTCGGGACGGGGTTCAGGTGCCCCACGCGGCGGCGGGCGAGGCGGAGGGACGCGCGCCGCTCCGGGCCGGGTTCCGAGGGAGCCGTTCGAAGGGGCGCGCTGGGCCTCGGCCAGCGGGCAGGCTCCGCCTCCGCGGCGGGCGGCTGCATCACTGGGCCAGGGAGTCGCCGGCGAGGGCGGGAGGCAGAGAGCTGTGGATGTGGCACCCTCGCCTTCCAGATCGGGCGGAGCTGGCCCGGCCCCTCCGCGCCCCGCGCCCGCTGGCCCCAGGCTCCCCAAGGTATCTGCGTCTTGGCTCCGCGCCTCTCGGGCGTCGGGGTTTCGAGGAAGGAGGGCGTGGGGCGGGGGCTGCGGGCCCCGCAGGCCTGCGTTCCCGAGCTAGGCCTGGAGGGTGCATTCTGCAGACGACGCGACTGCTCAGTAGGCGGTGGCTTTTGTTCCCGGGCGGGGGCGCTGTTGGAGACGTCCCGGGCAGCTCCCGGGCCCTGCAGCCAGACTGCTCATCACTCCCTTCCAGCCTTCCTCTTTTTTCCTCCAGCCTTTGTCCGAATAAAATATTAAGGAAGTAGACGCTACCTTACAGTAAATAACGTGCAGGTTAATGAGATGGTGTCGAGGCATTGGGGCCAACAGGGCCTTCAGCTGAAGGCGACATTCTTAGCGTTCCTTTTCTACGGGTGCTGAGCATCAGTGCTCGCCCTTGACTTCAGCGGGACACAGTGACCTGCGGTCTCCTCCCTTTGTCACTCGCTGTGTGTCTTATCTTCTTAGGGTTCAGTTTTACCTGTTTGATAAGATGTGATAAGTTAGGGGGGGTTAAGAAGGAGTGACTTGGAAACGAAGTGGCTTTCCTTGAAGAAATTACTAATCTTCAGTTTTGGGGGTTTGTAAGTTTCTGTAGGTAAACTAGTTCACGCAGTGGGAGCCTGGAACTGTTCGTAGGTGTGTGATCCAAATTCCTTAATTCATTAGAAATAAACAGGAAAGGCATGAAAGACTTCTTTCATTAGAATATTCTGGTTCCTTCTTCAGAGAATCTAGTTCCTGACTATGAAAGAGATCCAAGTATGCGAAAAGAATCTTTTGATAAAAATAAGACAAATAAAAAAGCTTATTTTTGGGGGTTTACAGTTTTTCGTGGTGTTTGAGATTAATTTTGCATCCTTCCCCCCAGCCCTCAAAGCCAGTAATCTTTACATAGTAAAAAAATTTTAAAGGGCATTCCCCCCCCCCTCCCCTTCAAGGGGCTGCCTTATTTGCATTTCCCCTCATACTCTGCCTTTATACTTGTGGGCATATTTTATGGCTTTGCCTGCGTTTCTGAGGGCGGGCTAAATCTCACACATTTTAAAACGGTGATGAGTGGACCAGTGTTTGGAGACCGTTGGAGGGAGGTGCCTAGTGGAGTCTTTTTCTGTTGTACTGCGTAAGGAGTTTGCCAGTGAGTTTGCCAGTGACGCAACTCAGTTGAATTTTAGCCAGGTTACATAAAACAAGAAAAACAACAAAAACCACAAAATTTTTGTTGGCAGAACTTTTAAGAAAGGACTGTATTTGTTGTGAATGGTTACCTCAAGAAAAGTAAATATTTGACAAATATAGTAAAACCAAATTTACTCAAGTGGAATATTTTAAGGTTTTTGTTTTTGATGAACTCCGATTTTTCTTTGAATGGATTTAAAAAATAATATTTCATAGTGTTCACTAAATGAACACTTCAAAATCCAACCTTTTATGGAAACTCTTTTTTAAAAAAAGATTTTATTTATTTTTAGGCAGAGGGGAAAGGAGGGAGAAAGGGAGGGAGAGAAACATCAACGTGTGGTTGCCTCTTGCGCGCCCCCCACTGGTGACCTGGCCTGCAGCCCAGGCCTGTGCCCTACGCTGGGAATCAAACCTGGGAATCAAACCGGGGGCTCTTTGGTTTGCAGTGGGTGCTCAATCCACTGAGCGACACCAGCCAGGGTTGGAAATTCTGTTTTAGGTATATTCTAATGTAAGTAGGATGGGTTAGCTAGAAGGGAGTAACAGTAGCTTGCAGAAGGACTTTGTTAATTATGTGGATTACTGAAAACATTTGATGTTAAAACTTTTGCTGTTGATAGAAATTTCTTTCTCTTGTCTAGGACCTGAGTGTGGGCTTTGGTTCAATGCATGACAACAGCCTGGAATGTTCACACTGGAACACTTGACCTTGATCATGAAGGTCATTAAATCTAGTGAAGCGAACTCTGGATGGAAAGACTAGCATGTCTTACCTAGTGTCTCAGAGAAAGCCAGCCACCTTTTAGAGCCAGACCCAACGTAGTTAAGGATGGGTGTTCTTTTCTCTTTGTCTTGCTCCCTTTTTTCTTTTATCAGCTGCCTTATAAGTGCTCTGACTGGGAATTGAACCTGTGACCCCTTGATCTAAGGGGTGATGCTCCAACCAACCAGCCACCAGCCAGGGTGGCTTGTCTCTCTTGAGGGTCTTCCCCACCCCTTCTCCTGCCTTGCCTCCTTCAGGGATCCTACGTCTAAGTAAACCTCATTCATTGGACAGACAGGGAATGCAAATGGGGTCCCAAACCAGGGCTAGGTTCTGGATGCAAATTGAATTTTAAGACATAGTTATTGTTCTTTTAAGGAGCTTAGTAGCACCCTGGCTGGTGTGGCTCAGTGGATTGAGCTCCAGCCTGCGAACTGAAGGTCATTGGTTTGACTCTCAGTCAAGGCACGTGCCTAGGTTGCTGGCCAGGTCCCCAGCTGGGGGTGTGCAGGAGGCATCTGATCTTTGTATCACACATTGAAGCTTCTCTCTCTTTCTCCCTCCCTTCCCCTCTCTCTAGAAGTAAATTAAAAAAGGAAAAAAAGAGCCCAGGAGGATTCTAGCAGGGGAATAGGCATGCAGACAAGTGTCCCAAAGCGATAGGACCTGTGACAAAAGTTTGTGCAAGGTTACCTGGGAGTCTTCAGGAGGGTTCTAATCAACAGAAAAGTTTTACTGATTTTTTTTTTTTAAAGAAAGTAATCTCTAGTTTAAAAAAAAAAACCATGGCACTGTGGATTCTTATATTGCAGAAATTGGCTAATTCTGAGAGGCTGGGTGCTGTAACATTATCTCGCTTAGTCCTCAGTAATGACCCGAGTGGCTTCAGCCTCGTTTCCCCAGCAGAGGAGCCGAAGCTCAGAAGGAACACACAAAGGGAGGGCCCCAGCCAGGATGTAATTCCTGGCCTCAGGCTCTGGGCTTTCCACTTTTGTCTCAGTTTTCCAGGCCTTTTTGGAAGAGAGGATGATTGATGTTGGCTTTTTAAAAAAATTTAATTTATTGATTTCGGAGGGAGGGAGTCGGGGAGGGAGTTGTCCCTCTTGTTCCTGCACTCATTGGTTGATTCTTGCACGTGTCCTGACTGGGGATCAAGCCACAACTTTGACGTATCAGGACGACACGCTAACCATCTGAGCTACCCGGCCAGGGCTTCCTGAGTGTTTCTTTACCCTAGAATCATATGGGTGAAATTACTGGTCTAAGAGTACAAACACTTCTAAGGCTTTTCTTATGACTATAATTCTTTGCAGAAAGTAGTTTAGAGTACCATTGAGAAGTGCTGTATTTTATTACTAATTTGGTGAAGGCGAAAATTAAAAATTAAAAGTTTTAATTTTAGTGTTTAAAGTGTTTAAACCCTAAAGTGTTTAAAAAATTAAAGTGTTTAATTTTTTAGATGGTCAAATAAAGCGTTCATTCATACTGAGTAGAGCGTAAGGAGCCCAAGAAACGACGTTAAAATCCATGTTTTGGACTTAGCACTGGTCTTCGGGGAAGTTCTGTCTAGGGCACCTAGACGTTTTTGCATTTTTGCTAGCAGCTATCTCCAGTCTAATATTTCTTTTTAACTTCTTTATTTCTTTTTTAAACTTCAATATTTCTTTTTTTTTAAAAAGATTATATTTATTTATTTTTAGAGAGAGGGGAAGGGAGGGAGAAAGAGGGAACAAAACATCAATGTGTGGTTACCTCTCATGTGCCCCCTACTGGGGACCTGGCCTGTAACCCAGGCACGTGCCCTGACTGGGAATTGAACCTGCGACCCTTTGGTTTGCAGGCTGGTGCTCAATCCTCTGAGCCATACCAGCCAGAGCTAATATTTGTTATATAACTGTGTTTGTTGTTGATACACCCTTCTCTGAGATAAAATCTTAGGGCCCTTCGTCCCAGTCATGCATGTAATTCTGCATTTTATTTCAGGAGTTATTGACCCTGAAGACCATCCCAAGATCTCGGGATTGCAGTCTGTATTCCTATCTGAACTGTGGGAAGGGCAGTTGGTGAGTGTGTCATCCCAGGGCTGGGTTGCGACAGGTACTTGCTGATTCCCAAACGTGCTGGATTTACTGGGTGTGCCAGTCAGAGGGGAGCGAGCCAAGCTCCAAGCATTAAGTTTTGTTAACTTGGCAGCTCTGTGTGCTGGGCGATTATGCACCCATGTAAGTACCTTTGAATGGCTTCACTCTCCAAGGTCAGGCACCAGCCTTTAACCCGGGTGGCTGTGCTTCAGCCTTGCCTGACCTCCCAGAATGAGTTCCTTGTCCTTGAATTACTCTCAGCACTGACGACTTAAAAAAAAAAGTGTGTGTGTGCGAATTTATTGCAAAATCATCAGATGGTACAGAGGGGTGCAACTGAGAAGTAAAAGCCCCCGCCCCCACCCTCCATTAATTGCTTTTCTAGTTTTCCCCATTCTCCCGCACGCACAGCCCGGAGCGCGCTGTGCCCATCGCGGCACCGCACCTGCCAGGCACTGCTGTGCGTATTTCCACTTGCTCCTCTTTTTTCCTTCACGCTTCCCTAAGGTTTTAGTTCTCATGTTCTTGATTTCTCGGTGGACCATGACAAACGCTCAGCAATAATTTAGTGAGTCGACATACCCCAACTCTGTCTCGACACCTTCTCTCTTCTTTAGACAGATCTGTGACATTCCTGCTTGAAGGGCACGATGCTTTCCAAACTGGCCCGTTTCCAGCCCATTGCTGTGCTTCGTCGGGGAGTTCACTCATCGGTGGCTTCGGTTACATCTGTTGCGACTAAAAAAACAGTCGGAGGCCCTGCTCTGTCCTCTGATTACGTTTTTGAACGGGAATCTAAATATGGTGCTCACAACTACCATCCTTTACCTGTAGCCCTGGAGAGAGGGAAAGGTACGTTTTGAGTTATCCAAACTCCCTCCTCTTTTGCTTTAAAACCCTATATATAAATATTGCTTTTATATTGGTTTGGCCGAGAAAGTCTGTATGTTTTTTTCCATAAAATAAAAGACACATTTTTCATTTTCACCAATAACTTCATTGATTTGGATATTTTGAGGATGTTGGCTTTCTCCCGACATCCTGACAATGGTATAATGTTGACTCTTCTCAATTAATGTCTCGGTGTGATCGCTATCAACTTCAACTGGGTCCGCCCGGCTGTGGAGCATCATCCAGCAAGGAATCTCCATGATGAAACCTCGCAAACCACCTGACACATTGTTCAGTCACCTTCTCCACACACTGCACAAATCTTTTTTGCTTGTCAGTTGTGTTTTTACCCTTCTTGAAAAATTAAAGCATAATATGCTGAAAATATTGTGTGCTTTCTTCCATCTTCAATATTAAAATGGCTACACAAAAATTCACCAATTTTGACGTTTTTTTTAAATGCACTTTGATACAACAGCTGTCACAGACAATCTACCAAAAAATGGTTTAGCATGAAGTTGAAGATAATTAAGTGCTACTAGAGCCATCTTATGGAAAACACCAAACGGACTTTTTGGCCAACCCAGTTATTTTCTCTGTATACCTTTTTTCCAGAGGCCTTTTGTTTCTGTGTTGAGATACAGTAGTTCAGCGTTTGCCGAGTGCCCGGTGCTGGCTGAGTTCGCTACTGGGGGAGACAGGGCGAACTCAGTCCGTCTTTGTCGTGATGGATTGCAACACACTTAAGTGAAGAACTGTGATACTGCTACCATTTTCCCCTGTAACTTTTATCTTGGCAAAATTTTAGACTTAAGGAAAAAAAAGTTGCCACAGTAGTACAAAGAATTTTCTTCTGCCCAGCTACTTCCATAGCAGCTGTGCCATTTTATACTTCCACTTGCAATAATGAGAGTTCCGGTTTCTACAGCCTTGCCAACATTTGTTTTTCTTTCTTTTATTTTTTTTTAAATTGTAATCATCTTACTGGGTGTGAAATGCTGTTGTGGTTTTGATTTTCATTTCTCCAAGGACTTGTGATATTGAACATCTTTTTATGTGCTTGTTGGTCATGTATACATTTTCTTTGTATATCATTTATTTGGAGAGATGCCTGTTCAAGTTCTTTGACCTTTTTTAATTGGGTTGTGTGTCTTTTTTGTTGAGTTGTAGGAGTGCTGGATTCTAGGTCCTTGTAAGCTTGATGTATGACTTAGAGATATTTTTTCCTGTTTTGTTGGTTGTGACAGTCACCTAACCATGCTTTCTATGCTTTGCGTAACTCCTCCCTTTAAACTCTAACTTTGTTATAGTGTTCTTGTTAAATATTCCTTTGAAACCAGACAGAAAAAAAATTCCTTATAAACCAGAGTTAGTTATTAGGCTTGAACTAAAACATGCCTTAACAAGCACAGTGTTTGTAATTATTTCCTAAAATTATTTTTCAACCTCTCCTGGCCTTCGTGATTTTCCTGAAGTCATTTTCCTTATATGTTCTAGGCATTTACGTGTGGGATGTAGAAGGCAGAAAGTACTTTGACTTCCTGAGCGCTTACAGCGCGGTCAACCAGGGCCACTGCCACCCGAAGATTGTGGACGCCCTGCAGAGTCAAGCCGCCAAGCTGACCCTGACGTCTCGGGCTTTCTACAGCGCGGTGCTGGGGGAGTATGAAGAGCGCATCACGAAGCTTTTCAACTACCACAAAGTTCTTCCGATGAATACAGGTAGAATATTCCGTTTTCTTTTATTAGCCAAGCAAATAGCTTTATTATTTTCTGGCAATTTAAAACATTGTCAAAAACGGAGGCATTTTCTCCCTGGACAGGCGTGGAGGCTGGGGAGACCGCCTGCAAACTTGCTCGGAGGTGGGGCTACACCGTTAAGGGCATCCCCAAGTACAAAGCCAAGATCATCTTTGCAGGTATGTGAGATTCGGCATTCTGTGGTTTGAACACATGGTGTCGTTTACCATTTTAATTTACTGATGAGAATGTCCAATGTGTTTGCTTCATACCTGGTATATTATTTGTTGAAAGTTGCATAAAAATTGAGAGGTTCTCTTTTCTAGGGTTTATTTCTAAATATTTGTTCATATAGGAGATTTTTCTTTCCTAATTAACTCTCTACTTCTCTCTCTCTAAAATGAGTGACTTTATTTCTCATCCACTTATCTGCTGTTTTCACAGCAGGTTTCCAGTTCCTTAGATGGTCTACAGTAGAATGTTTTTGTTAGGTTGTTGAGCTTGGGTTATGTTACAATGGGGCCACCTCCTCGGTACGGTGTGAAGTTTGAGCCTTACCGTTTGATGAACTGTCACATCAGGTTCTTAGAAGTTCTTGGGAGGTGGGGCTGGCCTTGCCCGGGGTGTGTTTCTGGGAAGGGTTGAGAGGAGCGACCTGAATGCCGGCCGGGGAGACGCAGCAGTGAATTCTGATGATGTAATCTGACTTTTGGAATCCTGAGAATGATGTTCAGTTGACAGGCTTTGACTTTTCTTTAAAGCATTGATTTTAATTTTTTTAAAAAGATTTATTTATTTATTTTTAGAGCGGGGAAGAAAGGGAGAAAGAGAGGGAGAGAAACATCAATGTTTGGTTGCATTTTGTGTGCCCCCTGCTGGGGACCTGGTCTGCAACCCAGCCATGTGCACCGGCTGGGAATCGAACTGGCGACCCTCTGGTTCTCAGGCCGGCACTCAGTCCACTGAGTCACACAAGCCAGGGCTGATTTTAATTTTTAAAAACAAAGCATGGATAAGCTTAGCACTGCACATGGTCAAAATTCACTCCTGTGATAGTCGTGAAATATTCTGCCTTGTGAACAAATGCAGCTAAATTAGAAACCTCATAACATAATAGAGATCCAGGGTTCAACTCGGGGCCCGCTGTGGTTGGTGTTTGGGGGTGACAGATTACTACTGAAGGAGAAATCTTTGCACAGCTCTGTGACCTGCCGCTTTGGAATCTTGTGCTTTAGTTGTAAGACAACATAACGGTCTCTTCCAGACAAAAATGACATTTCCGGTGATTTTTATTCTTACAGGCCATACCCAGTCTCTTTTATTTAGCAAAGGTGTTTTCACCCAGAGACAGAGAAGGCTGCCCCTAGCTGTCAGTCCTTACACAGCGGGGTAAGGATGGAGGCTGAGCAAACAGGCTTACAGCCCAGTCGACACAGTTTCTCTAAACAAGCCTGGTCAGAATCCACATGCTGCTGCTTGTGGACCATGGAAGAGGGGACCACTGTCGGCGAGAGGCGTGGCACCAGCAGTGTTTAGAGATACTATGAAGTCATAAGCCAGTAATTCAGTAGTGGGTTAATTGTCGGTAGTGGGAAGATATTTTAAAAACAAGAAAGTAGGACAACCCGCAAGCCTCTCTTCTTCTACGTTGTTTTTCTTCCTTCCTTGAATTCAACCCCGTTGAACTGATCGCGTGCATTTGCTTTGTGTGACGGCCTTTCCCCCGGACTAGGACACGAGCTCCTCGAGGGCAAGGGGCCCGCCGATCACGGCCGCCATCCTGTGCGCCCGGAGCGGCGCCCGCCGCCCAGCGGGGCCTCCGTCAGACTCAGTAGTGAAATAGGCTAATGGGTGAAAAGGGCTTCTGTGCGACGGCAGCTGCCTGCCTCTGAGCACGTCAGAGATCATAATACCGAGGAAGGCACCACTGAAGGTGCTTGGATTGCCTGAGGGTACTGTCTCCAAATGGAATGTAAAATTCATTCTGTAGACGAGCCGGCCCGTAGCAATGGGATTGTACAAGGAAAATGGCAAATTCTCTGGAAGGTGGCGTTCTCTGTCACATCTAGAAGAACATGAACTGAGTGCCTCAGCTGTTGGGGTTTGGGCCAGTGAGGGGAGGCGTGCATCTGACCTCGGGGGCTGTGCCCCGCAGCTGGGGGTTCAGCGGGGAGCTGCCTGCGCCCGCGCCCGCAAGGCCGGACCTCGGGGGCCGTGGGGGCCGTGGGGTTTGCTACCAGGTTTTGCCCGAACAGGGAGCTCTCTGCAGCAAACTCATGGCGGTTCAAAACTCAGACTGTCGGACGGTGTTTGGGGGAGACTGTTGCTTTTTAAATTTGGGTGTTTGTTTGAAATAATCACTGTGCATTTCTCCCTTCTAGCTGGAAACTTCTGGGGTAGAACTATGTCCGCCATCTCCAGTTCCACAGACCCCAGCAGTTACGAAGGCTTTGGGCCGTTTATGCCAGGTTTTGAAATCATTCCGTACAACGACCTGCCCGCTCTTGAGGTATGTCACCAGCATTGCGTGCTTTGCCTCACAGGAAATAGGAGTTAAGTTTGTAGACGGTATGAATTCCACATAGACGCGATGGATGGAAACCAACGTATTTAAGTTAGGCTGAGATTCCACACTGGTCTCTGATGGTCAGTCAGTTTCCAGCGTGGGAAACCAAGTTCCGTGGTCTGATCCTGACAACCAGCTAACACTTTAGCTTTGTATGCTGTGTAAGTAGTAACTTGGATGGGATCTGTATAATGATTAGATGAAATTACTCCGCTTTCAGCTAGCTTTTGAAAATTATGGAGAGCTTGTAAAAATGAAATGAACTTAAAATGGCTTTTAAAAAGGCCATTTTTCTCTAATTTTTAGAGTGTATTTTCCTGTATATTAGAAAATGTAGGATAGAGTAGCTTAAAGCTGAAGTATTTAGAGTTTTTGATAGTAGAATGTCAGTCAGAAATGTTACATTTACTCTTAACAGGACACTGTATACATGCACTATGTGACTTCAGGTTTCCAAATAGGTGAGAAAGGAAGCCACTAAAACGTATTCATGTTTTTTTTTTGTAGCGTGCTCTTCAGGATCCAAACGTTGCCGGGTTCATGGTAGAACCAATTCAGGGTGAAGCGGGCGTTATTGTTCCCGACCCAGGCTACCTGGTGGGCGTGCGAGAGCTCTGCACCCAGCACCAGGTCCGGGCCCCTTTTCCCTCCCGCGCGCATCTCTTAGGGGTCAGCTAATGGGACATGCGGAGATTACCCAACCTCTCCACCAGGGGGAGACATCGTCCTTCGCGCTCCGGCCCTTTCCAGGGCTCTGTCCCCGCCCGCACTGGCCGTGCAGGCCGGCGGGCCCCGCGGGGGGGGGCAGACTCCCGCCTTCCTTCCTCTCCTCTCTGCGGGGGCCCCTCTGATTCTTCCCAAGCCCTTGTCCTCTGCTCCAGCATTGAAGTTCTCTCCTCCTCTTCCCACCTAGCTGGTGTGTATTTAACAAGCAGTAAATATTTAATAATTTACTTATTAAATATTATTATTTTAATAATAATTTTTATTTTAATAAAAATTATTATTTTAATAATAATAACAAGCAGTAAATATATAATAATGTTTGTGGCACAAACAAGTGAATTCATTCATTTCCAGGGAGTAGTTCTACTCAGAAACCCTGGTAAAGCCCTCACTTGGCGTTAGTGCCTTTCTGCTGTGTAGGACCGTGCAGAGCAGGCCTCCGGGGAGTGTGGCTTGACACAGGGACACTGGTGTGTCTACAAGGTTGTCATAGGCCACTGTTGAAATGGGTGATTAAAATATTTTCACAGATCCGAGGGAGTGGCAGATGTTGCATCTGTGTGGGGTTAGGGGGGAGTAAAATAAAGACCACTGTTTCCCCATGGAAACGAAATGGATGATTAATGCTGTTACGTTGTCCTCTGTCAGGTTCTGTTTATTGCCGATGAGATACAGACAGGATTGGCCAGAACTGGTAGGTGGCTGGCCGTTGACCACGAGAATGTCAGGCCTGATCTGATCCTCCTTGGAAAGGCACTTTCTGGTGGCTTATACCCAGTAAGTTGGTTGTTAACCTTTCTGTACCCTACATTCATGAAGTTTAGCCTTCAGATATTTTTTACATCTGCCAAGTAGCATTGACAAAGATGCTTCTCTTAAAGCGCCGTTTACTTAGTGCGCTGTAGGTCACCTGGAATGTGGGTAACAGCGTCTCCGTTCCATTGGGTGACCCACTTAGTTAATTTTAACTGAAGAGTGGAGTGCGCCTTGGAATTGGCTGCTGTGTTTGTTTTGGATGGAAACATTTTACCCCAAATGTATTTCTGTAGACTTCTATGCTCTTTAACATGGTTCAGAAACGTAACATTAGGAATTGTTTAAAACCATGAGGGGTTCAGGGAGCGATGAGAAAGATTCCGTGTTTTGCTGTAGTCGCGTCCTTGGGTGTGCTCCCGAGCCCGCAGTTTGCACTGGATTGAAGGGCTCGGAAGGATAGTGCAGAACATCACTTTCCAAGCAGTTAACGTGTTTGACCCTGAAAGTGGGACGAATTCTAATTATGTTACTGCAGAAGCAGCTTCTGTCTTAATTCAGAAACGCAGCCGCGGTGCGCCGTCGATGTGGCCCAGCCGTGCGCGGGGCGGCGCTAGGGCCCCCCTCCGCGTGCCCCTGGCGGCGACGGTGGCAGATGTGCAGCTCTGGTTTGTTGGCGCTTTCTGTCCAATTTAATACCCGCTTCGTGCGTCTCTGTGTCCCTAGGGAGCCAAGAGTCAGAAGGGTTTGTCTGAGGGACGGTTTGGTGAGCGCTGGCCTCTCTCTTTCAGGTGTCTGCGGTCTTGTGTGACAATGACATAATGCTGACCATTAAGCCCGGGGAGCACGGGTCAACGTACGGGGGCAACCCTCTGGGCTGCCGCGTGGCCATCGCAGCCCTCGAGGTAAAATCCGCCGCGGCCGCGCCGCGTTGGTTCCTTTAGGGGGGCTGAAGGGGCTTTAAAATTTGAGCCACTGGTGTAATGAGAAGTGTCGTGAGCTTGCCACGCATTACACAACACGAAGAACGCGGGTGCGATTGTAGGAGCACGGCCTTCTCAGCAAGTACCGTAACCTCGGCTCAGGAGACGGGGCCCTTCGAGCGCATTTGGCGTCGGCAGTGCCCTGCGCTTTGCTCCTGCGGGCACTGGGTGGCCCGCCCAGGGCTCGCACTCCGGCCAGGCCTGGCCCGTCAAGCCTCTAGCTTAGCGCGCCTGGTGTTTTCTAGGCATGTATTTGAACACTTTCAGATTTGGTACTCAGGTGCCTCCCAAAGGCATGCAATTATCTAATCTCTAAGGATGGACTTTCAAGGAAAAAAAATAAACTCTAGTACAGTTAAAAAATTAAACTATATTTAGTGCATGATTTATTCAACTCATAAGAATATGGCTTGTGTGGCTCACTGGACTGAGTGTCAGCCTGTGAACCAAAAGGTTGCTGGTTTGATTCCCAGTCAGGACACATGCCTGGGTTGCAGGCCAGGTCCCCAGGTCGGGGTGTGTGAGAGGCAACTGATCCATGTTTCTCTCCCTCTTTCTCCTTCCCTTCCCTTCTCTCTAAAGATAAATAAATAAAATCTTTTTTAAAAAAGAAAAACAATATTAGTTGCTTTTAACAAATTTCAATCGTTATTTTGCCATAAAGTCAGATTTATGATGGGTTTGTGACTAAAGCAAGGTTCTCTCTGAGCCAAAGAACAGTGTAAAAAAAGGGCAGTCTTACCGTTTGTGTAATTTCTTTTCAAACATAGGTTTTGGAAGAAGAAAACCTTGCTGAAAATGCAGACAGAATGGGTGCCATCCTGAGAAATGAGCTGATGAAGCTGCCTTCCGACATTGTAACTGCCGTGCGGGGCAAAGGGCTACTCAACGCCATTGTTATCCGAGAAACCAAAGGTACGGAGATAAAACCTTCTTCTCAAGTATTACTTTTATAGGAAGAGCTCAGACACATTTGGCATTTTGTCTGGTTGCTGGCTTCCTCTAAAACTGCGGACTGGCCACCTGCTGAGCACATCTCTTAGGCTCAGTGTCATCTGATTTATTTTATAGGCTCACGAGGGCTTTCCGGCACAAAGCTACATGTAAATAATTGGGCCTGTTTTTGTTCCTTTCCGACGTTTGTTATTCTGCCCTAGGTTAGTTATGTAGTACTTGGAAGTTTAAACTTCTTTTCCATTAGTTAAGCCTGCACAGAGCGCTTCCCTTAAACGTTTGCTCTCTGCTGTTTTCCTCTCTCACTTTGAAACTCGGCTCATCCGCGGAGCCGTAGCAGCAGCAGTAGCAACGATATGAGTGGCGAAGCTGATGATACCCATGCCCCGCGCTGCCACTTGGTTAACTGTTGTGTATTTAGTACGTCATTTGGGTCCCTTGTGGGTTCCCTGCTGGATTTCCTTGTGATACCCCTCCGTGCGAAGGCGGATCCAGCCCGGAGAGTGAAGCGGCGGCCTGGGGCCCGCAGCGGTGGCTGTGGCGAGCCGCTGGGGCTGAGAGCCGTGCTTGCCGATGGTGAGCCCAGGCCCCCAGGTCGGGAAGCAGCTCCGTCTCGGGAGTGTTCGCTGGGCTTTGGGTATTGCTCCTCTGCCAGGTATTATCTGTGTCATACCCGGATTCTTTTTGCATTGGGTCCTTGTGTAATTCATATGGCAGCCTTAGCACAAGCACATTTTTTTTGCTTTTTCTTTTATGAAAAACTAACAAAAACCGTATGTCTGATCATACCATTCAAACCTAGTTACGTACTTGCTGACAAGTAACTTCCTCTTTAAGACCAGAACAAAGCGAGCCGCCACCCGGAGCGGTGGCGGGGCAGTGAGCAGGGGCGGGGGGCCGGGGGGCCGGGGGGCCGGGGGGTGGGTCGTTTGCTGGGCGGCACTTGCCCAGCCAACGGTGGGGGGTGTGGAAACGCTCGTCCCTGACCAGCACGCGTGCTTCTCTGCAGACTACGACGCGTGGAAGGTGTGCCTGCGACTTCGAGACAACGGACTCCTGGCCAAGCCGACACACGGCGACATCATCAGGCTGGCGCCCCCGCTCGTGATCAAGGAGGACGAGATTCAGGAGTCCGTGGAAATCATCAACAAGACCATCCTGTCTTTCTGAGGGCGGGGGCGGCTCTGCTACCATCCTCAGGCCTCTAGCTTAGGGGTCTAGCTTCAAGGACTTTTTTTTAATATGTGTATTTTTCAGTTCATACATACGAGCATGACATTCATAATCATGCCGTTTGCCGTGTAAGGGAATGGGACGGCGCCTGCATTCGGTGTGGCGCGTGCTTCCTAAGGTGGGACTTCTCTGTACATAGGCAGCCTCCTGATCGAGCCCCGTACAATTTATTTACGTCTTTATCGTTTTCTAGCTGGTGTAAATGTATTATTTTTCAAAAGTTATATAGGAGACTGGTTTTATATAGGAGGCTGGTTTAACCTTTTAAAGTAGAATCATAATTGTTGACTTTTAGGAAAGATTAAATGGTTAAATAAACTATTAGATTGAAATAAAGTTCATATGAGCCCACACCAGGATGGGTGTCCTTATTTTGAATTAAGAATTATTATTTTTAACATTCCTAAATTATGTTCCCAGTGTTGGTAAAACTTGTACAAAATGCTTATTATCAAGTAGTTGTTCTTTAAATTTAAAATAAAGCCTGTATTTGAAATGCCTATTTTGTGATCCCTGTGCCGTTGCTGTCAGTGTGCAGCATTGCCGAGTGCCTGGCGTCTTTACGCTCTTTGAGAATGTTCTTTGCCTGTGATGTGATGTTTTCTAAGAGCATTTCAGTTTCTGTGGTCAGTTCTACAGCTCCAGAAACTGTAAGAAGTCCCTAGAACACGCCCTTCCCCCTTTCGGAACAGCCGCATTTTTCTGTGTGTACCCATCACGGTGGTCTCCGCTTACGTGCCGTTCTGCTTTCTGCAGGTTCGGTTACCTGTGATTTGTTACCCGTGGTCAACTGTGGTCCGAAAGTGTTAAGTGAAGGTTCCAGAAATAAACAATTCATAGGTGTTACATTGTGTGCCACTTTGAGGCGGGCCCGATGAGGTCTCTGGCTGTCTCGCTGTGTCCCACCCTGGACGTGCATCGTCTTTCTGTCCAGCATCCCCAACGCTACCCTCCCCTGGTCTCTTCGGAGCCTGGTGTGGTGTCACAGTGCTTGTGTTCAAGTCACCTTTATTTTGCCTAATGGCCCCAACATGCTAGAGTAGGGGTGCCGGCAGTTTGGATACTCCACAGAGGAGCAGTAAAGTGAAAAGGTGAAAGTTCTTGACCTAATAAGGAAAGAAAAAGAAATACGCTGAGGTTCCTAAGGTCTGCGGTAAGAACAAATCTACCTGGAAGGGTGAAGAAGGAAGAAGATTGATGTGAGTTCTGCCATTGCACCTCAAACTGCAGAAGTTACAGCCACACAGCGCATGGTCATGGCTCAGATGGTAAGATGGGAAGGCACTGAAGTTGTGGGTGAAGACGTGAACAGAAACGGTTCCAGCTGATGGCGTGTCGTGCCAGAAAGCCCCAGCCTGTGTCCTGAAACTGATCACGTTCACATCTGTCATAGTGTATCGCTATAATCACTCTATTTTATTATAGTCATTAATACCTTACTGTGTCTAGATTACAAGTTAAACTATGTATAGGAAAGCAGTACATGTAGGGTTTGGTACTACCTTCAGCCTCAGGCACCCACTGGGAATCCTGGAATGTATTGCCTGTGGGTAAGGGGAATGCTGTATTTACCATTTTTATTGAAGTACCCTTATGCATGGTATTGTTCAACTTTTTTTTTTTTTTTTTTTTTTTGCCTCAATGGGGTATTTTGGGTGATTTTTTTTAAAAAGTTTAATTTTAGAGAGGTGAAGGGAGGGGGAAAGAGGGAGAGAAACATCAATGTTAGAGAGAAAAACATCCATCAGTTGCCTCTAGCATGGGCCTGAAGCCCAGGCTGGTGCCTTGACTCGGAATTGAACCTGCAACCTTTCAAAGCTTTGTGGTACAGCGCTCAACCCACTTAACCACACCGGTGATTTGCTTGGGTGATTTGCTATATCAGTAGCTGCAAGTTCATCGCATTCTCTAATGACTATAGTATGTTATGTCAAAATATTATAGTTTCATATTGGGGCATGTGTGGATTGTTTCCATTTTTTTCACTCCTTAATAAACAAAACCTGTTGTGACCACTTGTACAGTGGTTGGAGTCTCTCCGTGGTCTCTAGCGGTGGGTTGCAGCGTCAAAGGCAAGGAACTCATGAATTTAGTAGTACCCCGTTGCTCCCCGCCTCACCTAGGTTCTAAGCCACCCTTAGCAGCTTGGGAGTGAGTGAGCAGGTGGGTGAACCGGTGCTCACAGGAGGGACTGCCTGCTCATACCGATGGCTTGCTGGCCTGGGCGGGGCTTCTGATTTGATGTCTGTGGGGGCTAGACTTTTTATAAGACACATGGCAAAATGGAACATCAGGTACCATTTTGCAGATGAGGAAACCAAGGCCTAGAGAGAAAGAAACTTGCCTTAGGTCATTGAAATAGTAAGTAGCAGAGCTCTGGATCCTGGGGTAGGGGGTCGGGGGGACAGGGTGGGCTGGACAAGGTTTCTGGGGGGAGGCAGGAGGTGGTCCCAGGTGCCCCAGGGGCTGGTGGCTCAGGGACAGCTCCGTTTGCCCTGAGCAAGGCTGAGATGCTCCAGGTGTGAAAAGCATTTCAATTCCGTTCTAACTTGGGGGATGGATTCTTCAAGATGGATTCACATATACTCATGAGTATGTGGAGTTACACAAGAGCAGCTTAGTCTGTTTAGGAGAAACTCTAAAATACACATTTCACTGCTTTCCTGTTCCCTGCCTGTGTCCATTGCTCAGAAGAGTTTTATCAGCTCCCCACCCTTTCTCTTGATTAACTTGCAAATAAGATTCCCGCCCCCGGCCGCGCCCCCCGGCCGCGCCCCCCCACCCGCGGCCCGCACATTGGTCCTGTCCCTCAGTAAAACACCGGAGCTAGCAAGGCTTTTATACTTTACCCCCGGATACTTCGGCGCAGAGCGGGTGGCAGCTGGAGAGGAGCGAGTGAGGCGGAACCTGCTCCGAGCAGCCTGTGCAGGGGACTGTGGACGCCCTGGGCTACCCGGCCGCCAGCCGCCGGCCGCCAGGGAGGGCCTGTGGCCTCGGGTCTTGGTGGCGGCCCTCAGGCCCAGAGGCGTCCAGCTTCCTCTCTGAGGCGGGAAGGGAAAGATGCTCGTAGGACCCTCCAGCGCCCTTTTTCCCACAAAGCACCTCAGTGGCTCCTGAGTGCCACGCCACCTACTTACGACTGACCTGGAAGTCATGACCCCCGGGGGTAGCTTAAAAGTAAGCCTGCAACGAGCAGAGCAGAGCGCAGGAAGCTGCAGGACCTCAGGGGGCGGGGCGGGGGGGGGGGGCGAGGCGGGGGCGGCAGGGACGGGGCCTGTGCTTGCCCTGGGGATTCTAGGGCCACGCAGGGCCTGGCCAGTGCTTTCCTGCTCCGCTCAGAGAGGGGAAGGGACCTGCCACGTGCACAGAGCCAGTGTGGCAGAGCTGGGCGGGCCCAGTGACTGCCTCCCTGCTTCACTGGCTGTGGCACGGGGGTGGGTGGCAGTCACCCTGACAGAGCTGCGGGTGTGCTGTTCCCACTACTGAGAGGCTGCGTGACCTCAGGGAAGCCACACCCTGTCTGTGCTTATGAAATGAGGGGGTTGCATTAAGCCAGAGCCCCTTAGCGGGTGGCCCTGGAGGGGCGCAGCTGGCCTCCGGGCGTGGGCCCTGGTCTGCCTCCGTGAGCGTGAGCCTGAGCCCCAGCCGGGGAGCACCGGGTCTGTTAGCCCGCAGAGGCGCCGGGGCGCAGGACCCGGGAGATTTCACGCAGAGACAGCCAGAAAGCAGCCACGGGTTTTGTGGGCTTCCCATTCCCCATCGGGGGTTTTAAGATCCTTTAAGACTCAGTTTCCCCCAAAGGCAGTCCCTCGCAAATGGGAGGCCTGTTTCTGCCGGGGAGGGGGGGTCTTCGGGCTCTGGGAGAATGACAGGGCTGTGCAAGTGGTCTCTCCCCTCCGAGGTCCAGCGCCCCCGGGGCAACTCCTTCGCAAACCCCGGCGCCGGATCTCGTTTCGGCCCGACCCGCTCGCCGGCGCAGAGCCCAGGGCGCTTCGGGACGGCAGGGGGCGCTGTCCGCAAAGCTTTGCGCTGGGCGACCGAGAGCCGCGCTGCGCGCGTGCGCGGGGGCCGGGGGCTCTGACTGCCGGGAGCGGACCGACCGGAGGGCGCGGGGTCTGGGGGTCCTCGCGCCGCAGAGACAACCGGGCAGTGGGCGGTGCAAGAGGCCCAGGGTCCACAGCGGCCGACCCGAGCCTTGCGATCGCGCGCGAGACGCAGTGGACTTTTTTGTAAGAGTTAATTATCGTGTCGACATGTGGCTCCTTGTAGGAAATTCCAAACCGCAGAACCAGACCGCCCACGGCCTCTCTCCGCCGTCGTCGGTCCCCGCAGCAGCCCTGCAGAGCTGGTAGTTGACAGACCCAGTCCCGGGGAGGGCAGGCAGGTGTCAGTCTTCAGGTGGGAGGTGGGGCCTGACCCCCGTGGAGCCTGGTGCCCAGACAGCCCAGCTGGTGCTGTGCTGTTACCAACAGTGACGCGTGGCCCGCAGGCCTCCAGCTCAAGAGTGGTCGGGCTGGCCTGGAAGCAGCCCTTACCCCTTCCCGAGGTGGGGGAGGTAGCTTCCACCCCTGGCTTCGGTTCTGCCCCCCACCACCTGGGCCGCCAGCTCGGGAGCCTCCCTTCAGGAGAGGAAGTCTAGTTTGCCCTTTTGGGGCGGGGAGGATAGCCCTCGGCTCTTGCAGGTGAGGAGGGGCCTTGCTCGGGGTCTGGAGGAATGTTTGCCTCTGTGGAGCCTTCTGTGGGCTGCTCTGTCTCAAGGTGGGGAGCTCTTCAGCCTTGGGGAGCCACCGGGGGGTTGCAGGAGCCAGGGCGTCGTTTGTCAGACTGCCTCCCTCCTGCCTGCCTGCCCGGTTGCCCTTCTCACCTCCAGAGTGTGTTTGTTTGTTTGGGGGGACACACCCCTGCACACGGCCTGCCCAGGGGTGCCTGCGGCACCGCCCCCGCCTGTGGCCAGCCACCTCTCCAGAGGGCAACGCGCGCCACACGGCCCCTACTCTGCCTGATCGCAGCTTTGAAGGTGGGAGCTGGGAGGCGAAGTCAAAATTGCCCGGAGAGTAAACAGCTGAGGACCCAGTTTGGCCTGGTCAGGAGGCTGGCGGCTACAAAGGGACACTGTGAGGGATGCCCCGGAGCAGAAGGGACCCATTCAGTCCTCCTAGAACGGGACTTGCCTGCTAATTAGGTGGGGAGGACCCTCGTGGTGGGTGGGCCGCGGGGAGAGGCGGGAAGGGAGGGAGCCAGGGACCCCGTAAGGAAGAGCCCGCCGCTCTGACCAGCTAGAACCCGAAGTCCGAGCGCAGCCCTGCAGACAAGCTGCTCCAGAACCGCGCAGGGAGCTCATGAAAGGTGGAGCTGTCCCCTCCCAGACTTCCCTGAGGAGACTGCGGACCTCAGCACACCGGCTGGGTGGGGTCGCAGCCGACGCCAGCCCCCTGCCTGTGGTTTGCAGGGTCAGGCCTTCAGCGCAGCTGCGCTCAGCATCTTGCTGCCTGTGACTGGG